CTGCCTCAGGCTCCGGAGTAGCTGGGACTATAGGCTCAGGCCACTGTGCCCAGCTAATTTTTGCATTTTTGGTAGAGACATGCTTTCGCCATTTTGCCCAGGCTGGTCTCGAACTCCCGAGCTCAAGCAACAATCAGCCTGCCTCAGCCTCCCAAAGTGCTGGGATTCCAGTAGTGAGCCACCGCACCCAGCCTTAAAACGATTTTTATTGTACATGGAGAAAGAAAACAATATTTTTAATTCCTATAAGAAAAATACCTTTACTGAACTTCACTTTAAATAGTGTGAAATGTAAATTTAAAAATTATCAGGACTATCACATAGGTTAAAAAGTGCAATTTACATGACTTGCTATAAGATTTGACATAAAACTACAGATTCTAAGAAACAGTAAGATTGTATAATAATAACCAAAACAGGCTGGTGCGGTGGCTCACGCCTGTAATCCCAACACTTTGGGAGGCCGAGGCAGGTGGATCACCTGAGGTCAAGAATTCAAGACCAGCCTGACCAACATGGTGAAACCCCATCTCTACTGAAAATACAAAAATTAGCCAGGCTGTGGTGGTGCATGCCTGTAATCCCAGCTACTCGGGAGGCTGAGGCAGGAGAATTGCTTGAACCCAGGAGGCAGAAATTGCAGTGAGCCAAGACTGCGCCATTCGACTCCAGCCTGGGCAACACAGCAAGACTCCATTTCAAAAATAAAATAAAATAACCAAAACAAGAGCCCCCAGATGTCATCCATCTCTTTTTAGAGAGAGGGAAAAAAATGCTCTCAAATTCTCCAACGAAAAATAGAGATAGCCACCCTTAAAAAATCCTAAGGCTGGTGGGTGGATCACTTGAGCCCAGGAGTTCGAGACCAGCCTGGACAACATGGCCAAACCCCATCACTACAAAAAATATAAAAATTAGCTGGGCGTGGTGGCGCACGCCTGTAATCCCAACTACTCGGAGGCTGAGGTGGGAGGATCTCTTGAGCCCAGGAGAAGGAGGTTGCAGTGAGCGGAGATCGTGCCACTGCACTCCAACCTGTGTGACAGAGCGAAACCCTGTCTCAAAAAAAATAAAATAAAATAAAGAAAAAACCCTAAGGCCAGATACAGGCTCATTCACCTGGGGTCTCCTTTCACCCAGGCAAGCAGCTTTCTGTCTTTGCATTTTCCAAAGACTGCAAAGCAGGCTGGGGTGGGGTGGGGTGGGGTGTACAACACAGGAAAGGCAGCCAGTTCCCCTTCGCTTCTCACCATCTTGATCTCCTCCCAAACCAAAGTCCTATGTCTTTCCTTTTACATACGCTTACAGAAATGCAGTCTTCTGTAGGAAAATTGAGGTCATGCATTCCAAAGTATTTAAGGGTATGATTTTTAAATTTTAGGAATCTAGTTCTCCAAGAAATCCCGGTTTGGGATATAGATGAACGAGCTATTTGGGAGAGATTTCGATGAGAATGAATTTTAGAGAAGTAGCGAGGTGAGGAGAGAGTCAGCTTAGCGTTTGGGTTTTGCAGTCAAACTTCAGCAAGGCGAAGTAACCTCGCTGGTCTTAATTTTCTCATCGGTAATAGGGAAAATAATAATGCTAACATTGATGAGTTACTTTACTTCAATATTTAAAAAACCGACTCTCCGTTATCTATTCTAATGATAAAAAAGTAGATAGAGCATCGTCCCTTGCTGTGAAAAATCTTATGAACAAGTGAATTGCGGTGAGGATTCACACATAGTCTGTGCTTAATAAACATTATTATTTTATTGTTTAGATTAGAAGAGGGGTGGAGGGAGAAATGAAAGCGGTTTGGAAACCCCAAATACTATCAAAGCCCTGGGGATGGAAGTAGAGAGGAATTTCGGGTTACGATTTGGTTCCTGGTCTGAGTTTCAACGTTGAATACTCCCATATTTGGGCCTGAATTCTCAAAACAGAATAGGATGTAAGGGCTGAGATCATCTGGTACAGTTTTATGCAAATCGAAAATTCTTGCCTCTTGTCAATGTGCCCTGGCGAGAAACAACACCTCCACCCAAGCTCATCCAATCTCAGCCCCAACTAGGTGACGTCATCTCTCCGCCCCGCAACCCCCAAGCCCCGGGCAGTCCTGTCTCTAAACTACAGTCCCAGCCCCAGTCCCAACGGCGCCTGCGCACTTTGAACCGGGGCGGGGAGGACGCGTGCGCGCTGCGTGGGGGCGGGACTAGTGCGCACGCAGCCTTAGCTTCTTCCCCGCCCTTGCTCTTCCCAGTTTCTCCGTCAGCCTGCGGGTCCCGGCTGGCGGCTGCTTCCGGTGGGAGAGTGGTGTAGGGCGAGCAGGTCTCAGCTCCTCGTCATGTCATACGGTCCCTTAGATATGTACCGGAACCCGGGGCCCTCGGGGCCCCAGCTCCGGGACTTCAGCAGCATCATCCAGACGTGCAGCGGCAACATCCAGCGGATCAGCCAAGCCAGTGAGCCGGGGTACCGAGCTGGGGGGCGGGAGCTGTCCCCGGGACAGGCCTGGGTGAGACTGCCGAGTCGCGGAGCCCGGCTGGGGCTACGGCCGAGGCCACACCTGGGGCTGTCTCGGGCTGTCCACCCTGGGGGCGGTGGGCTTGCCTCCCCTAGTCTGTCAGGCCCGGGCTGCCCGAGGGTCCCCGGCCCAGCTGAAGCTTGAGCTGCTTCTCTGGAGTTCTGCCCCCACGGTGCTGGGACCAAAACAGCCCGAGGGTGGGAAGGGGAGTGTGTGTCATCTCGAGAGCTGTGAGTGCGTTGACTTGGCGCAGTGGTCAGCCGAGTTTCTCCTGTCATCCACCTTCCTCCCCACCCACCTCGCTTTCCTCTTAGGCCAGTTTGGATGGGGTTGTTTACTGATTTAGGCTTTAGGTTTACATTCTGCTCAGCCCCTGGCTCCTCGGAAATCAGCAACTTTCAATTAAGGGAAGTGGAGAGTGCATGTGTTTGGATGACTTCATACACAGTTCTTCCTGTAATGAATTCGGAAATCAGACACAATGACTGGTATTTGAGAGGTGGGATGACTTCTGTTTTAATAAAGATAATTCACCAGCAACATTTCAACTTACATTATTTTGTCTTTTGTAACAAAGCATTGGGGTGTATTTTTGGATTTCAGGCAGATGAGGCTTTTGTTTTCCTTCCCTACTTAGCTGCTCTTGAACAAATCTGGTACACAGGGAAGCTAAGAGACTTAGCCACAACCACAGAGCAAGTAATGCATGGTAGAGTTGTTGGTGGAATTCAGAATGGTATTGCTTGTCTTAAAACTCCCTCCTGCCCATTAGGGTCTGAGTGAAACTGTAGCTGAATGAGTCAAATACAGGGTGTTTCTTGGGCTTGAAAATCATCTTGGAGCCTTATAAACAGGAGATCAGCAACAGCTTTACTTGGAAAGAATGGTGGTCATCATCCTTATTGTTTACTATTGTGTTTTGTGAGCTTGGCGTACTCTGTTAATAGGTAGAACTAGTTAGTCCTGGATTACAATTCTGTATTTTAAATAATATCACTTTGCTTTAGTTTTTAAACTTTAAAAAATTTTTCTTTTTTGTAGAGATGAAGTCTTGCTGTGTTGGCCAGGCTGGTCTCAAACCCCTGGGCACAAGCACTTCTCCCACCTCAGCCTCCCAAAGTGCTGGGATTACAGGCGTGAGCCACTGTGCCCAGCCTAATTTTTTTAATTTTAAAAAATTAAATATTTTAAATTTGTTTTTAAGAGACAGAGTCTAGCTCTGTCACCCAGGCAGAGTGCAGTGATCTGAGTGAAGTAGAGCGATCCTAGCTCGCTATAACCTTGAATTCCTGATCAGCTTGCTGAGTTGCGAGGACTACAAGGATGCATCTACCATGCCAGGCTAATTTTTAAATTTTTTGTAGGGATGGGGTCTCACTATGTTGCCCAGGCTCACTTTGCTTTTAAATCTAAATGTACATTGTAGAATTTGAGAAGTTTCTGATCAAAAGCAATTGAGACTCTGGAAGTGAAAGGAAGGGTATGTGACCTCTTAAAATCCAGAACTAAAAAAAAATAATATGACCAATGGTTAGAAAGTGTAGTACTTTTTGTTCCAGTTTCCTTTTGTGAAGGAGCTGTAATACAGGTTAGATCAGAAAATTCTAGTTCAAGGCTGAAATTTTCTTGTTGAAGCTAAATCTGATTTTAATACCTATTTGCAAAATATTCATTCAACATGTATTCAATATTATATATATCATATATAATATTATA